GAATTATAAAAAGAGAACATATAGCACAGTTTTCTTTCCATAACATGTTAAAAGTTTTGAGGTATAATTCAGTTGGCTATACTGTTGAATATAAAGCTAAAAAGTAATAGGTTAAAGTCAGTTTCTTTTTAACAATAAAACTTCACAGAAGCATCAACTAAATTTTTATAAAATAAAAGTTGCTGTTATTTTCCCTACCCTTCTAAAGACATTTTCACAATTTAGATTAGTAAACTAATAAGTTACAGAAAAGACAAGTTAATCTCTGCTCAGGAAATGCAAGTGCAGCTCATAAAACTAGGCCTGCTGGTGGGATGGTTCTCCTTGCTCCTGTGCTTTGAGTTTCATACCACCCACCCCTCTACATGCAGTCAGGCCTTGAGAGTTTAGCTCCTGGTTCAGTGTCACCATTTCCTTCATTACTCCTGTCATAATTCTCAGTGACTTTAATATCCACCTAGATAATCCTTTCTGGCATAGTTTCTATAGTGTCCAGATACCAATACTCCTACAAACCCTAAAGATCCTGTAAGCCTTTGCTGTTATAAATTTTCCCTTTGATCTCACCTTACCACTATCTTTACCCTCTATCCCTCAATTCCTCTTTTTAAAAATGTTTTTTCACTTACAGTTTACATTCAGTATCATTTTCTGTTAGTTTCAGGTATGCAGTATATGGTTAAATAATCATATACTATTGCAATCACCCACCTGGCACTGCATGCAGGTATTACAATATTATTGACTATAATTTATATGCTGTTCCTTACATCCTTGTGATTATTTTGTAACTACCAATCTGTACTTCTTAATCCCTTCAATTTTTTCATCCAACCCCCCAACACCCTTCCCTCTGGCAAACCATCAGTCTCTTCTTTGTACCTGAGTCTGTTTCTATTATCTTTGTTCATTTATTTTGCTCTTTAGATTCCACATATAAGTGAAATCATATGACATTTGTATTTTTCTGTCTTATTATACCTAGCATAATGCCCTCTGGGTCCATAGCATGTGCATTTAAAATGCAGAATCCCAGTACAGCCTGCATGGCTCAGTGGTTGAGAATCAACCTATGAACCAAGAAGTCACTATTCAATTCCTGGTCAAGGCACATGCCTGGGTTGTGGGCTCAATCCCTGGTGCAGGGCATGCAGGAGGCAGCCAATCAATGATTCTCTCTCATCATTGATATTCTTATCTCTCTCTCCCTCTCCTTTCCTCTCTGAAATCAATAAAAAATATATTTTTTAAAAATGCAGAATCCCAGGCATAATTCATAAAATAAAAATTCAGACTCCATTTATAGCAAACTCCCCAGGTAATTTTGAGCACATGGAAGTCTGAAAACTGCCTTAATAAGGATGCTTCTTATGACTTAAGAGCAAGAGTTGGGGGTGGTAAAGGAAATGAGTTTTTGATTTGTTGAAGGTTCCTGCTCTTCAAGTTATCTGAGCAGATACTTTTATTATAAAGCCTATTTTAGAGACACAGAAGACATTATATCTACTCCCTTAGCTATAGGACACTGTGATGGTGTCAACTATCACTACTTCTGGGAGACCATATGAAAAACATCAAGCTAACACTTCTGAGGAAGAAGTCTTTAGCTATTTCCACATCACACTGAGACCAAGATTCAGATAAAAGTAAAAGGATGTGTCTTTTAAAGGACATTCTTTAAATAATAATGGAACTAACGTATGATCCAGCAATCCGACCCTGGGTAATTATCCACAGGAAAAAGAAAACATTAATTCCAAAAAATATCTGCACCCCCATGTTTACTGCAGTATTCACAATAGCCAAGATAAGGAAACAACCTGAGTGTCTGTTAATAGATAAGCTAACAAAGAAAATGATATATATAAAATAGAATATTATCCAGCCATAACAAAGAATGAAATCTTGCCATTTGTGACAACATGGATGGACCTTGAGGGCATTTTGCTAAGTGAATAAGTCAGACAGAGAAAAACAAATACCAAGTAATCTTTCTTATATGTAGAATCTAACACACACACACACACACACACACACACACACACACACATTTAAAAAAAAAAAGAAGCTTAACAGATATAGAGAACAGATTGGTGGGTGCCAGAGGCAAGGACTGAGGTTGCAAAAATGCGTAAACCTTTTATTTATTTATTTATTTTTAGTTTAAAACCTGAAAAAAGGGGGCATTTAAAAAATTCTTTGAAACTTTAGATATTTATTTTGGGAGTGGGTATAATGATCAGACAACTTAGAACAAGAGAGCTTGGAAAAAAGAAATCCACATTTGTGCAACCCTTATCCTCTAGGTATGGGGTTAAGAGACTGATGAGAAAATATTAAGACATCATCTGCCCGGAGCCGGTCCATCCTTGCTGCTTGACACAGTCGCTGCAGGAAAGAAACATCTGCACAGCATATGTTTCAAGGGACCTGGCATATGTAGCATACTGTTCTTAATATGTTTGCTCCCTTTAGCGCCATGTGTTTTAACCAAGGTTACATCTCCGAGAAAGGTTGTTTCCCCAGGTGGGGATCTTTCCCTGAGGTTAGGGAGGGGATACAACCCCTTAATTAAGTGCCAGGCGGGTAGTTAAGCTACATAATTTTTACTCCCTGGAATGGAGATAAGAAACGCCCTAACCTTTGTAATAGAAATTGACAGGATTAAAATCGGCTGGTATAAATATGGATGTAACAAGACAATAAACATCAGATCCTGATCAGTTCCTAACCAGAACTCCAACCAGAACTTTGGCTGGAGATCCTGGCTAGAGGTCCTGACTAGGCTGCTGATCAACTGAAGGCTGTCTTCGTGTCATTCCTTCTTCGCCGACTCCGTCCACACCTTTGGGGACCCCTGGACCCGATGAGAAAATATTAAGACATCATTATCTCCATTTTATAGAGGAAAGGGAAGAAAGTGTTGTTAGTTGTTTATTAACTAAATTACACCTAGAAGCAGGAAGCGACTTTTAAAATTAAAAGCTTTTAGTACTAAATGTATTAGGGAAGCCCAGAAAGAGTCATCAGCTTTATACAGTATGTCCATTCATTGGCAAGAGGGAGCTTGATGCTTAAAGTTCCTTGTGACAGGAAGAGAGCAGGTACACCCACGGCAGGACCTCCAAGAGCCCCAGCGCCCCTGCACCACACAGGCACACAGCTAAAGGCACAGTGTGCCGCTGTCAGTTGACCATCTTTCTGTATTGTTTTCTACTGTCATTCCTTAGAAAAGTAACAGCAAAACATTAGCTAGAATACTTACGAAAATCTCAGAATAAAGGTGTTTTGTTTCTTTTGTAGGCTCAAACTAGAATTCTTAAAATGAGCAAAAATCAGTAAAGTTAACTGAAGCATTAATAGACACATCTTTAGGCAAATTGGAGCACAAATCAATTTAAAATAAAAATTTAAATATTGCATTTAACTATGAAATTACTGGACATTGTCTTTCTGTGGCATTATTTGTGTTATCCCAGTATAACAAACCAAAATAATTTATACTAAATGTATTCAAATACAATGTATACATAAAGGAAATGCATAAGGGAAATGTCTAGCAATGTGCTTACTCCATTCTCAGATTTAAAAAGAAATCCACTAGGAAATTAAAAACAGGCTTATTTAAGTATTTCCTCAAATATCAAGAAAGTTAAGCTTCTCCATAGCCATATAATTTAAGAATTATAAAATGTGCTCACTTGTTAGATTCCTTACTTGAAATTTATTTTTTATACCAGAAATCCATTTAAAACAAAAGTATTTCCTCAAATATCAAGAAAGTTAAGCTTCTCCATAGCCATATAATTTAAGAATTATAAAATGTGCTCACTTGTTAGATTCCTTACTTGAAATTTATTTTTTATACCAGAAATCCATTTAAAACAAAAAGTTTCTAGTAGAGTGGATTTATTTATTCAACACTTGTAGCAAAAACTCATTTCAACTTTCTTTTCAGATATGTATAAAAATGGATCCTTCCTCCTTTTAGATACATATTCCCAAAATTATGCAAACTTCAAAATTAAGCTATCTTAGTCTTACGGGAAAAAACCCTACAAAAGATATTTATTCAAAAATGTTTTTTGTCCATTAAGGTTTTCTGTCTTACTGCATGTTTTTACTGCATTTATAATCCACATTGTATGTGGTAATATGTAGTAAGTCTTACAACTTTGGGCTGTTTGTATACATATACCATATCAATATTTTATTAGTATTCAAATTACTTCCAAAAAAGGAACAGTTAAAAAAGGAAACGAGGCAGCCTAAATATTTTTACTGTGAGACTAAAGGTTCAGTTTAGACATGTAGACATGGAAAGATAAAAGCAATGGAGACAGAAGCATCAATTAGGCGAGCATCCTAAACAATAAAAAATCACACCTGTGGAATAGTGAAGTTCAGTCCCCTATGGCTCAAATCAAGGACTCTTCTAAAGTCAAAGTGACATCAAAAAGAACTTCACATTCCAAGTTGATTAGAATTCTTCCCAGAATTACACTCCAATCAAAAGAATCTCTTAATAACACATTCATTAGGTTTTTAAATCTTAAGCACAACTAGTGGAATTCTTGATAAAATAGATTGGGTCAATATAAAAATCATTAAATTTGTTTCTATTTTATGCAGATAAGTTTGTATATGTTCAACTAACATATTCTCTTGGGGTCTTTATAGGAATGGGGTGCAGTTACTTAATAAAAGAGACATGGTAACAGACATGGAAACACACTGAACTCTACTTTTGTTTTAGCTTGAATAGTCCCCACTGGATCTTTTAAGTAGCAACTGACTTGTATGTTTATCATTATTTCTTAAATAAAAATCACACACACACACATACACACACACCAATTAACTTTATTACCTGAGACCAAAGTTTCATGCATTAAGGAATGGTTTGAAATGAAAGTATCTGTAAGTGACCTTTAAACTAGCGTTCCTTCAAGACCTATGTGGTATCTGATTTAGTAAACATTTTTAAAACAATTACTTACCATTGGTAGGCAATTTGATCTCAGTATTGCTTTTCTGAATCATATTTTCCAAAATAAGTTTAAAACCTCTTTTTCCCATAGACTCATAAGAGTTAAACTGCACCATCAGGTAAGCACCACTGGATATCAAGACACATTCTTTTATGGAACCACATAAACGAGCTGCAATGTGAGAAATACTCAATAATTAAAAGACAATAGAGAGGAGATATTGAATTCTAAATGTTAATAATGACAAAGAAATGATTATGAACAATATAAGATCAAGATTTGTAGGATGGAATTCATGATTTGATTGCAACAATGGAAGGGTAGAGATTTTAAAAGGTCAAGGGGAAAAGGCTGGGTTAGCAATTGATACGAAATGATGTAGGACTGTGTACCAATCTGTGACTGTGAAAAATAAGAAAAGAAGCATTTTGGTGAAAGTAAGTGGACAGAGAAACAGTGTATGGACCAAATGTTTTGTGTCTTCCCCCGCATCCCCTGAAATTTGTAAATTGAAATCCTGCCCCAATGTGATGGTATTAGGAGATGAGATTGTCAGAGGTAATTAGATCACAGGAGTGGAGCCCTCATGAATGGAATTAGTCTCCTTGTGAAAGAGACTCCAGAGAGCTATCTTGTCCCTTTTTTGCCATGAAAGGGTATAGCAAAAAGACAGATGCCTATGACCTAGGAAGCCAGTTCGCACTAGATACCAAATCTAGGAGTTTAGAGGCTCCAGAACTCAGAAATAAATGGTTGTTATTTAAACCACCCACACTATGGCATTTTTGTTATAGAAGCTCAAACTAAGATATACAGGTTGCCCAAATATGGTATAATGAGGATCCGTTCCTAATTCAGAAACATGAAAGTTGGCACAAAGGTGGTTCTGATAATGACAGGACATTTGATGTAATTCATCTGTACATGCTGTAATTCAAATTCTCCTAAATTAAAACAATGGCACACTATTGACTTGTCTTAAAGACAATGTTATCTCAGAAATCTGAGAAAGAAATATGGGGAATAAGGGGACAGTTATTCTCTACATTATTCTTAACTTCAAAGAAACTGTATGGTGAATTAGAAGTGATGGGAACTTTGGGGATATACCATGTCAAATAAGGGGCTTCGGGGAAGAAACAACAAAAACCCCAGACATTTTAAAATAATGGAAATGGGAAAATGTTACTCTGTTTAAAAAGGAATTTGGGGGGTTTGGGGTGGGTAAGAGACAGAGAAAACAGAGTTGTAGGGGATTTCCAAGGTCATATATCAGTGAAGTAATGCAGCTTAGTGTTTACAGGCAGATTCCATCGACCACCTGCCAGTCTGAACCAGTGCTGCAATTTATTAACTATGTGGTCCTGAGTAAATTACTTAAACTCTTTCTGTGCCTCAAATTTCTCATCTGCATAATAGAGATAAAAACAATAATACTCACATGGGGTTAAGTGAACTGGTATTTATAAAGTATTGTGTTTGTTAAGTAAAAATAGACCTCAGGAAAATTGTACAGCTAATTATTAGACAGATGGTTTCTGGACACTTGGAGAAGGACTCAGTGGTCACGTGAAACCAGCATGGAATCCTTAACATGTCACATTAAATGAACCTGATTTAATTTTTGAAAGAGATAATTAGATGGTGGCTAGGGGAAATGAGATAAACTTAATGAATCTTGGTTTTAGTGAAGCACTTAATAAAGTGTCTTATGATGTCCCTGTGAACAGAAATGGAATATAAGTGGATAATTATGTGGCTAAGAAGTTTCACTGCTGATTAAATAACCAAACAGTGTTAACCTGGAGGGAAGGTCTTAATGGTATGGAAATGGTTCTATCCTTGGTTCTTCCAAATACAGCATTGCTACTAACGATTAGTAATACAGAAAACACAGAGTCTTTAGGTTTAAGATGGGTGGTAGCTAGATGAGAAGGGACTGGATTAAATAGAGAACTTAGAGACCATTTAGTTTACGGTAATAAGTCATCTAACACTGAGTTCCTTCTAAAATAACCCTGGACATATGATTACTAGCCTTGAAAATAGGACGTGGGACATTGTGAGCATTTCCTCCTTTTGAACAGTTCTAACTGCTAGACTGTTCTTTCTCACGTTAAATCAAAAGGCATCAAAGTAATGACTGCCATTAGCATAATGGCCAAGAATGTAGGTGGTTAAATCAGAATGCTTGGGTTAAATTCTACTTTCTCTACCTATTATGTCACTGAAAACAATTTATTCAATCTTTTTGTGACTTGGTTTCCTTTTATTTAAAATGAGACTAACATAATATACTTCTGTAGGATTTTTAAGAAGATTAAGAGAGCTATAAATTCTTAGGATTATGCCTGAATAATGGTAAATACTCAATAACTATTAGATATTATTACACAGAACAAGTTTCATACATGGCTTCAATGATAATTCCATAAATATTTATAAAGAAGAATTATGATCCTCTGTCTTCTCTTTTCTCTAAGATAAACATATGCCCCAGTGTCCACACCCTGTAACATCCTGGTCATTTTGCTCTATGCATATGTTCTAGTTTGTCAATGAGCCTTAAAACTGATGCTTGACCAAGAACAAAATAACCATTAAAAGAGGGCAACAGCCCATATGATTGGACTTGGTGAATATTTGTGAGACTGAGGATGCTAGCTAGGTGGCAACACTAAATTTGACCATATAATAGAACTACGATTCCTTTTATTTTTTAATTCTTTACTAACACTGGTCTGGAAAGTTGTAATCATTTGACACCTCTAAAATTTTTATTTTGAACACTCACTTTCTAAATCAGTACCTTCAATTCTATTAGTATTTCCCTGCTGTAATGACCATCTAGCCATTGATCCCATAACCTTTCTAAATCCATCAGCCTCTAACTGGGAGAGTTCACTGTAAAATGAAGCAGGATACTGAGGCAACAGTTATATTTCTTGTTTGACTTTGTTTTAAATGATGGGCAATACTAGACCATATTTGAAACCGATGAGAATAATAGAGGAGATTGATGATGTGGGAGAGAGGATAACTAAAGGAAATGTGTGAGAAGCAACCTAATAACTCTCAAACTTATATTTTTAGCCTACACTTTTCCTGTAGCTCAGGAGTTCTACCTCTAGCTAACTATTGCCAACTCCATCTGGATATAGCATAGGATTAAAAATTTAACATGTCCCTAACTGATTTCTTCCAACCAATGCATTTTGCTCTCTAGTACTTCCCATCTCTAGAAATACCACCTCCAATATCTCATCCTTGACTTCCATGTTTAATTCCATATTCAAGCCATCAAGAAATCCTACCAGTTCTGTTTCTAGATCTGTCCACTTCACTTGTCCCCTATTGTTGCCATCCTCTTGTAAGGTAAGATCATCTATTATCTAAAACTAGCAATAGAACTTTCTGCAGTGATGGAAAGTTCTATATCAGTGTGTCCAGTATAGTAGTCAATCACTACATGTAGCAACTGAGCACATTTTATTTCATTTTAACAAATTTAAATTTAAATAGCAACACTGATTGGACAATGCAGGTCTAGACTACTACCATAGCTTCATAGCTGTTGATATAATTCACCCTGTTGTCCTAAAATCTACTCCTCCACACAGCAGCCAGAACAGCCCTCAAATGTTGCCCTCGCTAAGTGTTCATGCTCAAAACGCTAGAGATAGATCAATGAAGCAAAGAGACCAAGTACTGTTCTCAGGAAATTTTCATTCTGGTGGAGGGAGAAAGATTTTAGCCAAATAAGTATATATTTGCCAGGTCATGATAAATGCTAAGAAGAAAAAATAGAAAGGGGCTGTTAGGATTATGGGATAGAAGAGCTCTTGGAGATGTATTGTTAAATAGTATTATGTTTTCTTTATTATCTGTCTTCCCAAGGGAAGGTGGCAGTGATCATCTGACTTGTGTACCATTGTGTCTCCAATGTGCCTAACACATCAGGAAATGAATGAATTTAACTTGTAATTTAATATGGTGTTTAATAATTACTGATGTCTTACTTTCATGGAATAAATGGAAGAAGGGTGACCAGATAACCTTAATTTTGCTAATTTACTTTCATTAAAATATTGTAAAAGATTTGCAATGGAATGAATTTGGCGGCTAACTACCACTCCATTCACATTCTCATCAATAATTAAAAACTAGCTAAAAACTGCTGAATTCTACTTAGGTGAACAAAAAGATTTAGCAAGAAAAAATAACTAAGACTATGTAGAATTGTAGACAGCGTGGTTCTGTAAAAGGGATAGCCCTTCTAACTAGCGAATAGCAATGGGGCTCTATGTTCAATAGTTTTTAAAAATCCTTATAGAAATTGCATGTTTCATTGAAATAAAGTTATGTTAGGTATAAAATTTACATGAAATAAAATTGTATAAACTAGTAAACAAATGCTAGTTCCCTCATTTTTACACAGAATCATACAAGCTAATTAAAGAAAAACAAGTTGTCTCATTTGTAACCATTTGACATCTCTAAATTTTAGATTAATCAGAACTATTAAAGAAGAATAATGTTGCCAGGTTGGAGAGTACTAAAGAGTAAAAACGAGAAAAGCAGCCCCTGAAACCCGTGTGACGTGATGCTCACAGCTAGAATGTGCTGTTCTCCCGGAAATAAACAATCTCACAGAACATCAACATCAGACAGGACTCTCTGCGTCTATAATAAGGTGAGATGAAAACAAGGTCACTCGAAGCCACCAAAGTACCAAACAAATCTCCTTCCCCCGTCCCCCCCATCCCCTGCCCCTTTTTCTCAGCTAAAATGAGGGAGTGCTACTCATTTATGGTTTTATTTTTACTCAAGTCAGGCATCCCTGTAATTGAGATACCCAATCATAAAATTGCCTCACTTCCTGACAGCAACTAATCTAGAGCCAAGTCCACTGCTTTAGACTCTCTGTAAGTCCGGAGTAGTGGAGCAAAACGTGCAGACCCTGACTAAGCTGAGTGAAGAACTACATGCAAGACACTCCCGGGACAACTCTCTTTTCGGCTGGTTCCAAAGCCCCTTAGCTACATGGGTCCTACCCATGACAGGGCCCCTGATTCTCATCTGTGTCTTTTTTCTCCTAGCCCCCTGCCTCCTCAAGTTCAGCTGCTCCCGGATCACAGAGATGTCACGGGTGACTGTGAATCAGCTCCTGCTCCATCCCTACACTCGGCTGCCCTCTGACCTGCCTCTGCCTGACCCTGGCCTTGAAACCTCCCCCTCGTCGTCCCTGGTCAGCTGGAAGTAGTCAGAATGAACTCGCGCCCCCTATCACTAAAAGGCCGGGATGTTAGGTCAGAGAGAGCCCAGGATCAGATGCATGCAGATGTGTGACGAGATAATGGACCCTCCCTGGAATTCCTAACAGGTCAGCATGCCAGACAGATGGCCACACAGATACCAGCTCCTCCCTGGAATCCACAACGACCCCCACACAGATACTGACTCCTTCCTGAATACCGTGAGGACCCCCACAGCGGGAACTTCCTCAGCTCATGCCCCCCGCCCCTCACTAAACACCTGTGTAAAAGAAGTGCCCCCCTCCCTGTTGGCGCGAATTCACTGGCCCTGCCTTTGGGGCTCCTGGGTTTCGCCCAGGGACGCAGATTAAATTTTCTCCTCTCTGACCAGCTTGATTCTCTTTGTTTCCTACACTGCCTCCTGAGCCACCTTACACTTACTATGTAAAATTTTTTCTCAATTCTGTTTAATAAGGCTAAATATTTTTTCTCATATGCGTTTATTTGTCTATAAATTGCTCACGTAGGTTACTTACTCATTTTTCTATTAGGGTATTATCTACAAAAATAGTGATTCTGAATTGTATTTAAAAATTGATTAAACTCTTATTTGTTGTACTTATTTTTTAAAAAATTACATTAGAGATTCTCTTAGTTAAAAAAATAAATGTGTGCTTTATACTTGTTAAGTCAAGTAGTGGTCCATTACAAAGGTCAAAGTCATGGATATCATAAGGTTGATGATTTAAATTTGCCTCCTATGATAAACCATTTCAACTTTGATCAAACATGGTATTTTCTGAAACAAACATTCTAACAAAGGTGGTATGCTATAATATTCACAGTTTCAAGGTTTCAAGTCAATAAAGAACTATTACGGTGTTTTGCTATTATAGGAAAACTGTCCTTTTTGGTAAACCGATGGCCAGAGAATTAATTTCATTGTGACAAGACACAAAATAAGAAGAGATTTAATTTAGATTGTATAGTAACTGATATGCAAACATTCACTAACTCTTCTTATCTATTAAAAGAGGCTAATGGTTAATCCAGTACTTTTTGTTCTCAAAATCACTTGGGTCAATAGTTTGTCATTCTCTAGGAAAATGAACAAAAGTCAAAAGCTTTGGAGACTGGTTTTATTTTTTTTATTTTTTTTAATTTTTTAATATATTTTTTTATTGATTAAGATATTACAGATTTGAGCTTTTCTAATACTGATTTAAACATTCTCTATGTTAATTACCTTAACCCTTTCTCAGAGTTGTTGAAAATCTCATTTATTTTTTTTTAGACTTTGCTTTGGTTAGAGCAGAAAAGGTTTTAATTATATAGAAATTTATTGATAATTTTCCATTTTCTTTCATTGGTGGAAGGTCCTTTTCCATCTATAGCTAAAATAATTACCTATTTTTCTACTTTTAATGGCTTAAGAAAAATGTTTAACTCTTTAATCAGCTATTCTATGATATGATGCAGAATAAAATTTATTTTCCTCTCTGAATTGTAATGTCAAATTTATCATATAAATGCCTGTATTTCTGATTTCCCTTCTGGTCCACTTATATGTGTCTCTTCTTGTACTAGCTCTACTCTGTTTCAATTATCATTGTTTTAAAATATATTTTAATATCTGATAATTTGCTTCATCACCTGGTCTTTTTTCCCCCCAAAGCATTTTCAGTTCATGTATTTATTTGTTTATTTATTTATTTAGTTTTATATATCTTTATTGATTTCAGAGAGGAAGGGAGAGGGAGAGAGAGAGAGATAGAAACATGCTGAGAGAGAGAATCATTGATCGGCTGCCTCTTGCACGCCCCCCACTGGGGATCGAGCCCGCAACCTGGGCATGTGCCCTTGGCCGGAATTGAACCTCGGACCTTTCAGTCCGCAGGCCGGCGCTCTATCCACTGAGCCAAACCAGTTAGGGCTCGTGTATTTATTTTAAGGAAAAACTTTAGAGTTATCAAGTTCTTCCTTACTCTCTGAAAAAAAGTCCCATTAGAATTGTGTGGGAAATCCTATCTAATAAAAAAAAGGAAATATGCAAATTGACTGTCACGCCACCACAAAGATGGCTGCACCCACAGCAGAGGCCGAGTTCCTGTAACGAGCCTTAACGAGCAATCAGCAGGGACCAGAGGCTGCGTGGCTCTGTCCTGGGACAGGGGACCTGAGGCTGCACCCCCCGCCTGGTGGGGCTTGACAGGGGACCTCAGGCCATGGCCCCCACCCCAGCACTAGGCCATGCCCTCTGCCCGGCAGGGCTTGACAGAGGACTTCAGGCCATGACCCCCACCCAGTGGGGCTTGGCAGGGGACCTCAGGCCATGCCCCCCACCCCGGCACCAGGCCAGGGGACCTCAGGTGGCGCCGCCCCACCCCAGCGCTGGGGGACCTGAGGCTGTGGCCCCTGCCTGGCAGGGCTTGACAGGGGATCTCAGACCGCACCCCCCTCCCAGCGGGGCTTGATGGGGGATCTCAGGCTGCGTCCCCGCCTGGCAGGGCTTGACCGGGGACCTCAGGCTGCGCCACCCGCCCTGGCACCGGGCCGAGGGACTTCAGGCCATGCCCCTCACCCCGGCACCAGGCCAGGGGACCTGAGGATGTGCTGGGGGACCTAAGGCTGCAACCCCCTGCCCGGCGCCGGGCCAGGGGACCTGAGGCTGCACCCCCCACCCAGTGGGGCTCGACAAGGGTGGGGCCCGCCAGGTCTGCATCTTGCCCAATGGGGGTGGGGCCGGTTGAGTCTGGGTCTCGTGTGATTTTGAGGTGCCGCAGGTGGGCAGGGACGTGACTCTGAGTCACACGGCACGCCCCAGACTCTGACAGGAGGAAGATTTTCATATACATTTTACTAATTTTCTTTCATCTCTGACACTTCTATTATTGAGAAAGGCCAAATAGCAATATTAAAATATTTCCTCTAATTAATCCCCTTTTAATGTGTATGAATTTTGTGCACCAGGCCACTAGTATACTATATTTGTAAATTAATTTGGAATGAATTAATGTTCATTCTGTCTTCCAGTATTAGAACATGTTATTTTTTTCTATTCAGATCTGTTTGTGTGTGTGTGCCTGTGTGTCGGTGTGTATATGTGTCTGTGTATAAAGTTTTACATTTGATGATAAGTCTCATATATCATTTTATGGTTATTCCTAGCTTCATGGTTTTTATTGTTAACCATAATGGAAATGATTTTTCCATTATATCTGTTAATTATTTTTACTGACATGGTTTTAAAGATATAATTGCTATATGATTAATTTATATCTAGATTTCTTAATATGACCTAGTTATATGATGCATAATATATTTTTCAATATTAAAAAAATATCCTTGCATTCTAGGGATAAATCATAATACTTGGTCATGCTAAATATTCATTGAATAATCTACTGGCCTCAAGCATTAAGTTCGCACCTAGAGTTTGTAAACCTTACTTGCAAAAATTGAAATAGAGTCATTAGAACTTTTGGGGGTGGAGATAGGAAGTAGTACATATGTTTTAAGAACTAATTCTAAGTAAAGATGAACAGGTGTGTAGTTCATTAATATTATATGTTATAACTGATATAGCTAATGTAAGTTTCCCCCTTTTTCTGTATTTCTTTGTTCTTCCAAACTGTGTACACTCAGACACCCCACCCAGGGAAAGACAATAGGGAAAATAACAGTCTAATCTTTTCTTCCAAGCAGCACAGTTTAAAGAATAGAAAGGGGAATGTATTTTTTAAATTTAAACACAGAAGAAGCTTGGTTTCTGTTGTGTTAATTAACAGGCCTTATTAAAGTCTCAAAACCACCCTATGAGGCAATATAAGTGACAGGCATTCTGTAAGGCAAGAAAGGAAGAAGCACAGATATTTTCCAATGATACTGGGCCCAGATCCTGCATTCTCCTCACAAGAAGCTATGAAGCTTTTGACGCAAAATTGGCTCAGAAACCAGGAAGCTCCGTGTTTATTGACATTCCCTTAAGTAGAAACACAAAGCTTGTCATTGTGCCTATTTCTGGGATGGTAACCTGTAAGTCCAAAGAAAAAAAGAACAGTGGTTTAACAATTGGCTGATTTATCAACTCTGACACGACCCTGGGTTGTTTTTCCTTTTTAGGAAGTCAAAGGCCAGTGAAATGCCATATATCCTCTCCCTCTGGGCAGTCACCTTATTTCAGTAGGCATGCGTATTGTTGACTAGGTAAACTGGGAGTTTATAGTGCACCTGTCACTGAACTACTGTGTGGTAGAACTGAGATTTGAACCCGGGACCATCAGATCCCATCACATCAGGTACTGTTGGTCTGCCATCCTAAACCCTGTTTCTATTTAATGTCTTTTCCTACATTGTTTTGCCTAATTGATATTATAGGCTCAATGTTCTTGTATTACTATTGTCTAAAACTGCCTTATCCATCCTTTGTTTTTGGTATTTCTGGGCAAATTTAATCTAAGTATGACCCAAGTAAGCAGCATATGGTTGGTTTTGTTTGCAACTTAATTTGAGAGAGTATTTGATTAATCTCAATCATAAATTTAAAAAATATAGTAACAGTAAGGTTTTTCAACATCATATGAGATGAATTTACATCACACACTGAATATAAAACAATGTTTCATAAAAGAAAATACAAAAACACAGTTTCTCATGGGAGATTAGTTACCTATTAATTTTTTGCCTAATCCAAATCCTTCATAAACTCACAGGTGACCCTGACAGGCCAAGGGTGCTGGCTTCATCTGGAAGTTGGTAATATCTAGGCAAATGAAGTGATTTAAAGGGGCTAATAACCTCCAGTGGCAGCTATGGCACAGATGGAAGAATATCAGAAAAGATTTCCGAACAGCATATACTGTTATTTACTTTGTTCAGAATTTAATGCATCACTGTTATTGACTTAGCATGCCTTCGTTTTTATATCTGCTCCTTTGTGCTTGAGTGAGAGAAAGATTTCTACTTTAATTTACAACAATGAAAAAATATTCTCTAATACTTAATGAGTCAAAAGGCTTAAGTAAATTCACCAATCATGGGAAGTGGTTGGTGAGTCATGTAAGGTACTCAAAATTCTGGCTGGCAAATCTGTAAGAGTTAAGGACTAACTCTTGCCTAAATTTTCCCCAAACTCCCCCAAATCATATATATTTACTTAGGATTGATATTATGTAAATCTTCACTTTTCATTTATCCCTTTAAGTTTTTACTTATGTACTTTATTATTATTTTTATTATTAATTTTTTAATAGGCAAAGGGTTGGGGGGAAGAGGACTCACTTATCCTTTAAATTTATCTGTTGTTTAATTCGAGGAAAGTTCTATTGCCATCATGGCAATATTTAGAAACAATTACTGAGTACCTACTAAGTGCCAGAAGATTCTACACACATTATTTTAATCTCTAAAACTCTTTGATAGAGATTTAAATTTTCACTTTGCCTGATAAGTTATCTCTTTTGTTGAAAAAGTACAATTTACCAACAGAGGTAATCTTACAATCAGCTTTTGCATATTAAAGGCCAAGATCAGGGATTATCTGAAAGTGTATTCTTTAAGGAAACAAGGTGAAAAATAAGGTTTTAGGCAAATACTAAGTGTTGCCACCTGTCAAGTAATCATTCACATACTTCTTTCATCAAAATAAACATTCCTGTCTCACCTCATAGTGGTTCTGTGAAAATATCTTGAAATCTGTATGATTCCTGCTGGTTTGGTCAGAATAACATCGTTACAAGTGGCCACATGCTCTTGGTTTGAACTCTGACGAAGTCTGGTTACTTTACTGACTTTTGGACCTAGAAATAAAGAAAGAAAAGGGAATGAGTATAAAACCAATTTTAAAGAGGCTTTGCTATATGCCCTTTCAGATCAAAGCTGCCAGCTTTCTTCTCTAATTGTTATAGAAAAAAGTTAACAGGAGGTGGTTAGTGTCACTGAGAAGTCTCTACCTGAAACATACAGAAAACCAGCACCTCTCTCGGGATGATATTTGGCACAGCCCAGAGTCTATGTGGGATAAATGCAGATAATGCTGGTTCCATGCAAAGTTCCATCTGAAAGCAATCCCATATAATAAAAGAGTAATATGGAAATTGACCAAATGGCTGAACAACCAGTCACTATGATGCGCACTGACCACCAGGGGGCAGACGCTCAATGCAGGAGCTGCCCCCTGGTGGTCAGTGCGCTCCCACAGGGGGAGCACCACTCAGCCAGAAGCCAGCTCATAGCTGGCGAGCTCAGCAGCAGTGGTAGGAGCCTCTCCTACCTCTGCTGCAGGCAGGCGGTAAGGAGCGAGGGGTCCCGGACTGCGAGAGCCCCAGACTACAAGAGGAATGTCTGACTGCCGGCTTAGGCCCAATCCCTGAGGGGTCCCAGACTGCAAGAGGGTGCAGGCCTGGCTAGGAACTCCCCCCCAGTGCATGAATCTCCTGCACCGGGCCTCTAGTATTCTTAATATAGTTCTTGGGGAAAAAAGTTTCAGATGGTATGCATGCTTTTCTTTATTACTCACCTCATTGTTCCTCAAATATATCTGCACTGCTTTTTGGTGCCAAGAAGAGAAACAAGCTTTCAGTTATCTATGCTCATAAAGAGTCGAAAATCTTCACCAATTACATGTTCTAAAAAGTAACCTGTTAACTCTGAATTGCATAGCATCTAATATTTGTGTAGTTTGTTTTCAAAACTCATTCTAACCTTTTATTATTATAACAAGAGGCCTGGTGCACGAATTTGTGCACCAGTGGGGTCCCGTGTCCTGGCCTGTGGAAGCAGGCCGAAACTGGCTCTCTGACATCCCCTGAGGGGTCCCAGATTGCGAGAGGGTGAAGGCCAAGCCAAGGGACCCCACCGGTGCACAACTGGAGTCGGGGAGGGATGCGGGAGGTTGGCCAGCCAGGGAGGGGTCACGGGAGGGCTCCAGGGTGTGTCCAGCCCGGCTCGCTCAGTCCTGATTGGCTGGACCCCAGCAGCAAACTAACCTACTGATCAGAGCATCTGCCCCTGGTGGTCAGTGCATGTCATAGTGACTGGTCGACAAGTTGACTGTCTTCCCCCTGATGGTCAGTGCATGTCATAGCAACTGGTCAACCAATCAATTGTCTGCCCCCTGGTGCACATCATAGAGAGCAGTTGAGTGGCCTTAGCATATCATTAGCATATTATGCTTTGATTGGTTGAACAGACGACCGAATGACCAGCCACTTAGCATATTAGGCTTTTATTATATAGGATATCACTATAAAGAAAACTCTGATACAGTGTAACAACCTGCCCAGAGCTAATCAGCCAGCTAAGATTTTGAATACAGAATTACCACAAGAATTACCACTGCAGAAAAGGCTCTCTGTGGTGTAGAATCATAATCACGGTCAAAAATTTTATTTTGCAACCAATGTGTTCTAGCTATGTCCAGAAATCACAATTCTGGATGCTTTACAAGTCAATTAAGTTATCCACTGAGCAGTTTCTCTTTTGGACCAAACATAAACTCATTTCCCACAGAAACACAATTTTTTACAAAACAATGTATAAGATTTGAATATTCCTAAAAAGAAAAACAATGAATTTTAACTTCATAACTTTACAAAATGATCAGATGTACCTTGGACTCTAATGATAATATAACTTATGCCGAAAGCATTTTGTACAAGGGAGCAAAATGTCATCCTCACCAGTGGTTCAGGGCTCATGAAAATCATTGGGTAAAGCCTTCTTGCACATACTTCACCTACGTTAAAAAAAATAAAATCTAGTGAAAAACAAGAACTCAAGTTTTTTTGTTTGTTTTTTTGTAGTTTTCCTATTTTAGGCACTGGAATTATTTATTTTCATGTATTATTTATCTTTATTGAAATATATCTGACATGCAACATGGTATAAATTTAAGGTATGCAACATGTTATTGGATATATTTATATATTGTAATATTATTGCAATTGTAGCAATCGTTAGCACCTCTATCACCTCACATCATTACTTCTCCTTTTGTAATGGGAATAATTAAGACCTAGTCCCCCAGTAAGTTTGCTGATTATAAAACAATACTGTTGTCTATATTCACTGCACTGTGCATTATTAGATCTCTGGGACTTATTTGTCTGTTGTTGTAAGTGTGTACCCATGAGGTAGGAATTCATTCCACTTTGCAACACGTGGAGACTGGGTTCCAGAACTCAAGTGACTTATCCAAAGTCACAGACTGGTGGGCTGGGGAGACAGGGTCCATGAATCCAATACCCATCATAGCCCATGTCACATTGCTCCCTGAAGGACAGTAGGAAGTAAATTATTTTACCTTTAAAATTATGTTGACATGCCATTTATTTCTCCTAGAAAATTAACCTACTTATTAAAAATATCTCACCATGAAGATCCATAATAGAAAACTTTTTCTACCTGAACATTTTTTCCCTATAGTCAGTCTTTTTTAATTGCTTTACTTTGTGAAACTGAAGTCAAAGATGGAAGGAAAAATTATGATCATAATTCTAAAATAATTTAGAGGGCTGATTAAGAGGACATGCAAAGAAATTGTGAGTTTCTTAGAATCAAACTTATCTGCTATTAAGAATAATGCAGCATCATTTTATAACATTTATTTAAATGACAACTACTCAGAAAGACATTTGCTGTGTATACTACATATAACTACATGGTACCTACAATCCCAGTTACTACTTTTCTCTCTTCCCACTTCATGTCCCTCCTGGTTTGTCCACCTAATATATTATATATTTTATTTTTCTTATTATGTGTCTTCTCCCCACTAGAACATAAACTTAATAAGTAAAGGGGTTTTTTCTTGTCCATTTTGTTCACTACTGGATCCCCACAACCAAAAAGAGTCCAGATTTGGCTCATACTAGGTGCTGCACAAATACTTACAGAGAGGAAGAGAGGGAGGAGACTATAACCAAGAAGAAAATACAACATTAGTTGGCATAACATATTTGGGTAAATTATGTTGAAATACTATTTGAAGAATGAGCAAATATTTATTTGTAGCAAATAGAGATGAATGTAGCTCTTGAATGAATTGCTGACTCCCACAGGGAAAAAGATAGCATTCTACAGAATAGAAAAATACTATCCAACTTGAATAAGGGGTAATGTGTCCATTATAGTCTTGTAGTTCTACTAGCTATCATCTGAAGAGACAGAACAATTCTGCAGAGGTCAAGATGGCAATTTCAAATAAAAGAAATGGTAGGTTGAAAAATTACAGCGGCTCCCGAGTTAGTCCACATCAAAGTCAAGCATGTTTTTCAATATGTTATAATAAAGGGGAAAGTTTTCCCAGAAAATGTTTCTTTTATAGGAGAACCTAGTGTATAATAAAGATAGTGATATAAATTGGAAAGAAAATAACTTATTTTTAAAGAAATAGGTATAGCATCACTTTACTATATAAGATAATACATTTTAGCAGGATTAAAGAAGTACAGTTTTTAATTACAATTTTTTCTGAACTACGAATGAATTAATTTTTAAATATAAAAACAAGAGCTAAGTCACAGATCAGAGATACATACAAATAGATTTAAACAAATAAATTATAAAATGTTTACATCAACATATAATAAAATTTAAAGGTAAATACAACTTTATGAATAAGCACTTGCAAATGGTGATAAATATATATGTATATATCATATATACATAATAGTTAAAAATGGATAATAATGACAAGAAATAAGAAATACAAATAGCTAAGTAATATATGAAAAATATATGTATCCCCATTAATGATTTTTAAAAATTAAAAGAGCCCAGCTGGCGTGACTCATTGAGCATCGACCTATGAACCAGGAGCTCGCGGTTCGATTCCTGGTTAGAGCACATGCTCGGACTGCGGGCACGATCCCCAGTGTGGGGCGTGCGGGAGGCAGCTGATCAATGATTCTCTCTCATCATTGATGTTTCTAGCTCTCTCCCTCTCCCTTCCTCTCTGAAATCAATAAAAACATTAAAAAAAAGTAAAAGGGCCTACCAAATTGATATATTAGGTTGTGGGCATGGTGGAAGAGGCTCCCATGTATTGCTAATGGCAGCAAAAGATTTGGCCTTTCTGAAAAGTAATTTAGCAGTACACATTCATGTGAAAAAATGTTCTGAGTCTTTAGGCATTAGCCTACTTTGGAGAGATATAAAAGGGAACAAAATAGCAAAATCTCTGCTCTCATGAAGCTTTCATTTTAGTCATGAAAATGAAGATGATTTCAAATAGAGACCAAGGCTACACTGAAATAACTAGCACAATATGATAGAAACTAATTGTGGGGGAGACAATAAATGATGCTACTTTAGACTGACAAGGCCTCTTTGAGGTGATTTTTCATTCATTCATTCATTCATTCATTCAACGCCATCTATGTGTCAGATACTGTTCTGGGCACTGGGAATTTTCAAAGTGAAGAGACCAAAATTTCAGCCTATAGGAAGCTCACATTCAAAGGAGAATACACAGACAAATCACAGACATGGGAAAAAATCAAAATATGTTAGGGACAAGAAGTGCTAAGGAAAGGGCACTAAGAAGTACTCAGGCAGGAGGTGATTTAATTTATATGAATCAAAGTAGGTCTCATTAAGATGGTATGGCATTCTAGTCAAGACTTAAAGGAGGTGAGGGAAGAGCTGGGAGAAGTAGATGCACAGGGGCCCTCAGATGAGAATGAAAGGGCCTGGAGCATGGGAAGCTAAGAGAGAGAGAGGGGAAAGATGTGCTAGGGGTTAGATTTTAGTTCAGCTCTAAGGAGAGGACCTTGAGCCATTTTAATCAAGGGGATTGGCGAAGGTGATCTGATGTAGGGGAAAAATGTGCAAACTGAACAGGCTAGTTAATAGTTTTTTTCTGAAGTCTAAATGATTTAATATTTTGAAAGAAAGATCCCTTAAACAAATGTGTGTGCCTTTTCAGTCAATGATTTAACCTCTCACCCCAATGTAATCCTAAGAAAATAATCCCACTTTCAAAGCAATCCCACTTCCTGGTCTCCATATACTCCTGAATCAAGCACGTGCATATGTGTGTGTAGCTTACACACTCAAAACAACGTGCACAAACTTATTTTCACTCCAGCTTTCCCCATAAACCAAATTATTTCTAACACCTTCTCACTTTCCTCTTTCCTTTTGGTAATACAAAAAAAGCCTGCATTACACCTCTACAAACAGGAGGTGGCAAGTTTGTTTTGTTGAACAAAATTAGGTTTGCCTGTACATGAAATAAAATGATGGCTGGCACATTAGTAGCAATCTTTTTAAATCTGCAATTTTAAAAGCCGTTAATGTATTTTTGCTTTATTTTAAAATATAACCCGCTAGTCCCCTCCACCCCTCACCCCCATTTTAAGCATCTTATCTCCTCCTTTTTATCATGTACACATTTCTGGCATGTTGGTATAGTTTTGGTATGTTTGTAGAAGTTGGGCCCTTTTGTCTTTTTCTTTTTCTTGAATACACTTACATACAAACACACACACTCAACCTTTGGTATACCTGTTTTGTAAGTTCAATTTTTGAAAATATTAGGTGCGTCTAGGAAAAAAGACATGCCTATTTCATGAATCAACATTTCAGTGCTATTGTTACCAAGTCAAAGTCTCTCTTGATCATTAGCTGCTTCTACAGAAAAGACCCCCCCAGCCCAAAGTTCAAATTTCAGGAAGGGTTACCTGACATCCTTCTCTCCCTGTGGCTTTCTTCATAAATAGTCAGGACTGAATCTCGACACAAATGAGGCTCCGGGAGTGACAGGTTCTCATCTGTAAATGTTGCCATTCTGCTTGGTGAAACTCTGAGCACCCAAGAACATTCCAGTTTTCCTTTATAATCCAGTGGATATCTTGGAGTTGAAAGAAAGCCTTTGGGCTCTCCTAGCTCCACTTCAGAGTAACAGCGTGCAGTGCAGAGCACACAGACACCAGGGACCAACCTAAACAAAGCAAAATGAGGCTCTATCACAAACTTGGAAAGTTTAGGTTTACAAGAAAAAAATTAAAACTTTGTCACAATCAGTTACAAGTTCTTGGATTAAAAAAGGATCATCCCATTTGATGTGTCCTATTTTCTTGAAATGAGGTTGTAAGAGTAGAACTTGAATTATAATTACGTAAAATGACTTTTCACTGAATTTTTAAATTTTCTTGGAAAATGCACAGTGAATTACATTCCTTACTCCCTGCATGTTTTTATTCCTTCTCTTCTTTCAGATTGCTACTAAAGATCTGTTCCTAAAATCTTCACTGATTTTGCTGAGCATTTATCCTACTGGGACAAATGATTACATTCATGGAGTCTGTGACTGAGGTCAAGGAAAGAATTTGCTGAAAGCACTTGAATGTCTCTCATTTCTCTGACTTACCTTTAAGTTCAAGGGCACCTTTAGACCTGCAGGGATTCCTGCAGAGCTTTAGATGCCAGTAGTTCTCTGGCTAACTGAGCTTCTCCTTCAGGTTACATCCCTGACTCTTCTTTCCTCCCCTATGTCTATTTAGTCCCTAAATAAAAATCTTATCAATTACATATTTAAATACTCTGTATTCAAATGAACATATTTTAATGTATGAGCATTAGTTAATTAGTAAATGCATTATTATATACAGCCTATGTAGAGAAATTAATAATCTATCCAAGGAGATACATACAAAAAATATTTTTATGAACAGTAGACATGAAGAGTGGTAGAAAGGAAATACAAGGCTACAGGAATTCAGGATTCTATTCCATTGCCCAGTCCTCTGTTATTTCTTTGCAAATTCTCCTTTTTGTTTATATGGCTACTGTGATCTAATTTATTGATTTATTAGGTCTACTTTGATTTAATAGTAACCTAACTGGTTTCCCAGTCTCTAATCTTCCCCCACCTTGCCCTCCAATCTGATAATTGTGTATGAAACAAAATAACTGAGCTCTTTCCTTGTTCAAAGCAACTTCTTTTACAGTCTTTTACAGTCTGGCCCAATCTTTCCAATCTTTTCAACCTCCTTTTCCTCTCCACAATAATCCTCTATGACAAATCTGCCTGGAAAAAGAGTCAAATCCTAAAAGTCATGAATTCCCAACCAGTCACTGCTTTTTATAAGTGGGGAACAATGAAAAAAACCATAGCTAGGATTCATTAATTACCTAGTATAAAAAGCAAGTGGTGAGGGGGGGGGATGTGTTAAATATGGTATAATTCTAACATTTATCTCATACGATAGTTATAGAACTAAAATAAAACAATGCCCTTTCATATGTAAAACTTTCTAAGTTCTTCGGCATGTCTAAGAATTTCTGAACACATGCAAATGAGGAATATCTTCTCTACATTTTAACAATGTTCATTTTCTAATAGCCTGAATAGGACAACTCAAAGAATACCACCACCACTTATTCTAAGTGCTTTACATGCATTAAATTAGTCAGTCACTCGTTGAAATTATTCATTTAACTCAACCCATTGAAATCATTAGGTTTGGGGATCTTGGACCTAAGTTTGCTCTTCATTTCAACCCCAATTCCAGATTTCCTTTTAATCTAAACATGACTCTTCCACCCTCGTTTTGTCTCTTCGACCCTTATGTTGTCAGACATGACTCTTTGACTCTTGTTTTGACTCTTTGACCCTTGTGTTGTCAAACCATATCAACCACAACTGATCTCGAGTTATTCCTAGATTTTAGCAGACATTCTCTCCAACACGATCCTTCCCTTAAATCTTGCTGATTTCAGAAGCCATATAGGTAATGATTCCAGTACCGACACTTCTCAATTTCTCAACTTTCCCCCACCGGACCTCAGCCTTATCTCAATGGTCAGCCTTAGAGACCTGGTCATTAGTAGGAACCCCAAGCCTTTCATAAGCTTGGTTTTAAGCACCACTATCTCCAGCCACAAATGTTTATCTTTCCAATTTCCTCCAACACTTCCACCTTTTGAGACTTGCAATTCATCTATCCTATCACCTTTTCCTTATCCCTAATTCCTCTCACATCCTTGTTCTCTCTCTCTCTCTCTCTCTCTCTCTCTCTCTATATATATATATATATATATATATATATATATATATATTTGATTTTTTACAGAGAGGAAGGGAGAGGGCTAGAGAGTTAGAAACATTGATCAGCTGCCTCTTGTACACCCCGCACTGGGGACGTGCCTGCAACCAAGGTACATGCCCTTGACTGGAATCAAACCTGGGACCCTTCAGTCCACAGGCCGACGCTCTATCCACTGAACCAAACTGGACAGGGCCTTTGTTTACTCTTTTTTTAGTTTAATTCCTGTGACCCATTGTCTTAATCACTTCTTCACACATGCTCTCAATTCCCTTACACTCTTGCATACTTGGGAAAATCCACTCTAACTGAATCAATTCTCTACCTGCTCTGCATCCATGTACCACTCAGTGTCTCCAGAGGAAAACATACAATTCACCTAATAGTTGGTCTCCCTCTAAACTTATAATCATTAATCTCTGAGGCATATGCTGCCTAATAATCCTACCACATTTTTCTAGTCCATGCCCTTTGTCATTTTTAAGAGAACTATTTCATACTTTCTCTTTTTTTATTTGAACACCTCAAGCCTTTTTTCACGACCCTGTTTCATCTGCTGAGAAAATAGAAGCAATTAGAAGAGAACTGCCAGAAGCTCCTATCCCCACATGTACCCACACACCTGTATCAGTGACTGAATTTTCTGCCTTCCATCTGGCAATTATGGATGAACTGTGTTTTGCTTCTTCCTAAGACCAACCCTTCCAGCTGAGCATTAGAGATCATCCTTCTCTTCTACTGAAGCCACCGTTCTAATAATTCCCCACCCCCTCTCGCTTGCATCTTCTTCAATTTTCCTCCAAGTCATCTTAGTTGTCTACTGTGGTTGAGTGTATATGAGGGTGAGTGGGGCAGAGATAGATGAAAAGGGAAAGACCCTGGCCATTTGAAAACCAAGAATGATGGTATCATAGAACTTTCATCTCCCTACAAGTCAACTACAGACTTCTAATTCTCAAGCTGCTGTTTGCTCTTAACTAAAAATCAAAACCCTATTAGCAAACAGACACTAACAATTGTGGGAGAATTGAGAGAGACACTAACCCTTGTACTGGTCTTGGTCATCTCACAGCTAGAGTCTTTACCTAGCAAGATACCTAAAAGTATAAGGACCTTGGTTTATGTAGGAATAAATAGCTCAGAGGCCAAAATAATTCTATACACTTCTCCAAAATTCAGGCACTTGTTCACAACCACAAGATTTATTTTTTAACCTGTAGTCACTGTATCTATGGGGTAGAAAAGATCCCCAGACAGTCACCATAACATCTCTCTTCTCTTTCAGCTTAAACTACCCAACACCGAGTTTACAGTGTTCCAAAGAAAATAAGGGAACCCAGACATGCAATGCTTTTTGTTAAATTCTCACTAGCTGTGTTAATGGGATAACATGAATAGCCATTACCTGGCCCGATCTGCTGGAGATATGAGTGGTGGCAATTGTTTCCTTGGTAAGCTTTTGCTTTCATTATTTATCTGAAGTGAAACAAAGCTTGTATCTGGAGAGAACCAATTAAAAATAAATAAAAATGAGTGCCTGAGACAACATGTAGTCTGCACCAAAGCAGCTTTTGTTAAAAAAGAATGCATATCTAGGATTTAAACAGCCTCAGGAAAAGTAAGTTTTATCCTAACTGTCCAAGGGAGAACATATTCTTACAGAACTTTAATGTGCATGTTAATGTATTTAAAAACTAAAGTACTACTTTATAGTCTTCTCTTTTATAATGTTGATAAAAATCTGAAGAGGCATTGTTTTCATAATATCTGAAACATTTTTACCTTTGATTTTGGATTGGATCCAGTCCAAGAAGACTCTCACCCTGGCAAATTCACTGGCTTCCTTGGCCAGGAACAGCCAACTCCCCAGCTGATGATGGCCTAGAGGACAAAGAGACGATTCTCATGTCTACTCACTAATGGCCCACCAGAGTCTCCCTGAAACACCAAATAAATGTGTCCTAGAAATTTTCTCTAATCAGAGCTTCTGTTTTCAATTTTGGAACAAGAATAACACATAATTTATTCATAAGATGTTTCTTTAATTTCTAAAAGAATTATTCTTTATCAATTTGTACACCTTAGAATACTTAGATTCAAATAAATAAAATAAAAAATGAAAGAGGAGACATTACAACTGATACCACAGAAACAAAGAATCATAAGAGACTGTTATGAGATTATACATAAAAAATTGGACCACCTAGAAGAAATACAGTCATGCACTACATGACAACATTTTGGTGAATGACAAATCACATATACAATGGTGTTCCGTAAGATCATCATGAAGCTGAAAAATTCCTATCACTTAATGACATTTTAGCTATTCTAACATGGGAATACAATGCATTATTTACATGTTTGTGGAGATGCTGGTATAGACAAACCCACTGTGCCACTGGCCATATAAAAGTATAGACATACAATTCCAGTAGTAGGCTACACCATCTAGGTTTGTAAAAAGACTATATTTGCACAAAGATGAAATCACCTAATGACTCATTTCTCAGAATGTAGAGTGCATGACCTAGAATCATACAACCCACCAAGACCTAATTCTAAGGCAATAGAAAATCAGAACAAACCAATACCAGTAAGGAGATTGATTCAGGAATCAAAAACATCCCAACAAAGAAAAGCCCAGATGGCTTCACTGATGAACTTACTAACCACTTAAAGAATTGACTCCAATCTTTCTCAAATTCTTCAAAAAAAATTGAAGAGGAGGGAATACTCCCAAGCTGATTTGATAAGGCCAGCATTACCCTGAGACCCAGGACAGATAGGGGCAGAAAAAAAACAAACAGGCCAGTATCCCTCCCTAATGAACAAAGATGTAAAAATCCTAAACAAAATGCAGACAGATTTTCAAAACCCTGGAGGAAAAGTATTTATGCAGAACTGATAACTGGGTTAAGGCCCCAGTTGGGCAAATATGTGGCAAGTTGGTAGGTCAGAAGGAAATCAATGTGGCTGAAATGTAGTAAGCAAGAGGAGAGAAGTATGAAAGCAATTGGAAAAGTCAGCAGGAGTGGGACCGCATCACTCTGTGATCGCACAAATCCCCTTGTAGGTCAAAGAATTTGAAATTTAAAAAAAAAAAACCAAAATCTGAAATTTGTTGTGAACAAAGAACCACAGGATTCTACATCACATATCTAAAACTCTCATGTCTCTGCATTCCACCATTTTTATTTTCATCTTCTTGGGTGAGAAATTACATCAGCAGGTTCATTACCTCTGAGCATACACAAGAGGGTAAAAAATCAATTAGCCGATAGAAATAGCAGAGTCCATTTTATCGAAGCAAATTTCTGAAGTCACCCTTTTGTGAAAGAAATCTAGCCCCCTTTACCGGTTAGAATCTCATCTCCGTATTTTCCTTCCCTTACAATGACTGTAAATTTGGTCATGCTGCAGCCAAAATGACTGCTGGATGAAGCAGAAATAAGAACAAGTGCCAACCGAGATCACAATATGAGGGTCACCTCTGGCATGAACCTAATTTCCTCCCCAGTTCCTCTTTACTCTCTCTCTCTCTTTTGTTTTGTTAATCTTCACCCAAGGATTTGTTTTCCATTGATTTTTTTTTTCCAGAGAGAGTGAAGGGAAGGGAAAAGACAGAGAGAAACATCTATGTGAGCAAGACACATTGATTGGTTGGCTTCCACATGAGCCTCGACTGGAGTGTGGATCAAGCCTGCAACCAAGGGGCGTACCATTGACTGGAATTGAACCCGTGACCCTTCAGTCCTGGGACCAACGCTCTAACCACTGCGCAACCAGCCAGGATCTTTGCTGTCTTGATGCAGAGTAAGGTCTTCCCTCAATGTTATATGCTGTCCCACATGACGGAGATAGTAGAGCCATTTGTGATTTTCCTGATTCAAAGCAGAGAGAGAGAAAAAAAAAACATCCCTCAAAAGCGGAAGAATGAACACACTAATTTAGAGTTTTATTTTTATAATACAACTTTGTCCTCTAGCAGAACTGGGAGTGGACTTCCCATATTCCTCAGATCTTCCTGTCCACATCCTGGTTCTGTGCCTGTGGGCTCTCCCCCCACCCTCCCCAGGCCTCCCCCGCCCTGGTCCCCCGAAAGCAGGCCATAATGTAGGAAGTGCTGTTCCTGCAGCCCTCCAACTATGACCTTGGGGAAGTAGTGTATAAATATCTCAGCTCCCTCACCCCTCAGAGGGAATCAATATTCTTAGTGTGTTTTGTGTCACTGCCAGATTTTTGCTGCAGGATGAAGCTCAGTCCCTCACCGTGGTAGTGACTTAATATCACATCCGAGGCTGCCTTCCCTTCCCTATACCTCCGACCTACTCACTTTCCTACCAGTATCACACTTGAGTACTTGTCACAGGGTGTGCTTCTGGAGAATGCAAATTAAGCTACTCAACATATAACAGAATGTGAGTAATGCTTGATGCTGTGAATGGGTTTAAGTACAATGCATTTATATTCAGTGTTAAGAAGGGACCTCTTCCCTTCTCTCTTCATGTTTTCATGTGAAAGGACCTCTCTTCAGGTTAATGCCCAGTTTTCTCCCCATAAAAGCGACATCCATTGGTTCATGTTTCTTGATTTGGGGGCTGGGGGGGGGCATCAAAAGCAATAAAGACTAGAGATTCTCCCTCTCCACTCTAGACCAGCACGAAATGATAAATCTAGGGAAGCATGTCTGCCCTGAAGACCACAGCTTTCTTTTAGGAGGGCTGCTCAGATTGAGACTAGATATTGAAGGTGGGCTACAGAGTGTTAGACATGCTTTTTGTGTGTATCTAAAGTCACATTCTTCAGTTGGCTTTGTGAAGAGTAAAGCTGGTGTTTGCAATCTATTTGCCCATATTCTGTTGTGTTTTTTGTTTTTTTGTTTTTCTTAGCTGGTTCTGAACTTGCCAATAGTATGCTCGCCCCTGTGAGTATATCTGTACAGCTTTGTGCCTCTACAATATCACTGAAATGAAACTATTGCTTTGTGACTTTTTTCACTGCACATGAAAACTATTTTTCAAAGGTCCTCATTCTCTTCATGATTATTTTATTTTAATCTGTGATGGAAAATCAAGTGTGAGCACACTGGAGGTTAATAACAATTTTAAACAATTAAACTCTTAAGTCATAAATAGGACACACTAATTTAGAATCCTTATTTGCTTGTTCCTGTTTTCCCAAAGGCTTAAATACAACTGCAAACATCGTCCCACATGCAGGTCAGTTTAGTGGTGCTGCCATCTCCTACCTCCTCATGCTGCTCTCTGTTCTCACCTGCTCCTCTGGCTGCAGGCTGTTCCCACCCTCTCTCTGTGCCATCTCAGCAAGTTTGGATACTGCAACTCACTCTTCCTATGGTCCTACTAGGCCTTTGGGTGAGGGGATGTGGCATGATACTATGAAGCAGGCTAAGGGAGCTGTCTGTGGTTTGAGAGTGTTCTCCTGTGTGAAGACAGTCTCCAGCAGATGACAGCTTTCTCTGTTCCCCTGAAAAATCATACTTGTCTCACCTGACAGCAATCCTTCCCTCCAGTTGCTGCAAAGCTAGCACAGATCATCTTCTCTGTGATCCCTCCTGGGTGAGCAGAATAAGTGCGTTCGCAGGTCTCTCTTTCTAACACAGGCACTTGAATCTGCTGCAAGCGACTTGCCAGGCCACCATCTAATTAAGGAGCAGATTCTGAAAGAGAGCGTAATAATGAAGTGAGCAAGACATTAAGTTAGAAAATATATTTAAGCTCAGACTTGCTTAGCACCAATGTAATTGCAATCACTCAGGTATGCCTGTGCTGATGCAGAGCATTGAGTCAAAAACTGTGTCTCACGCAGGCTGTCTTCATTTCCAGATGTGGCATCTTTGTAAAGGGAATACATTGGCAGGAGAACGAGACCAGAAACACTTTTTCCTAGCTCATTTCCAATATAAATGTCAGTGTTTCAAATATTGCTGCATAAGATTTCAGAAAGAGGATTCAACGAGATATGAATTGTTATATGTAATTGACATGATTACATATTTATACAGATAATGTTATGTAAACATATTATAAATATAGGATAGCAACGTGTTTTTATGATTTCCTAATATAAGCCAAAATCATATTCCTTTTTTCCCTCAATTGTCACTGTGACCAAAACTCAACTCCAATTTAAAATGATGCTAATGAACACTAAAAAATCTCTTCTCATAACTGACCCTCAGTTAGGCCTGGGTTAACATGTATTCTGTATGATTTGCTCTATCACTTTAGATTCATGACATTACAAATGTTTATTATTTCATAGCCTTATACCTTTTTAGACAAAATAAGAATTACCTTACATTTATATAGTCCATTGATATTTATGGGGCCCTTTACTCCAACCTAATAATACAACAGCATTCGAGATGGGCTGTCCCACCGAGCTCACACATGCAGAAGCCACAGCTCTGAAAATGTGATCTCACAGCCCCAAAGTTGAGTGTGACAAATAAGGTCTATTATCTGGTCTTTAGCTCAACAGTAACATTTTATAGGATATTAGAAGATAAAAAGCAATGGAAGTTCCTTATGGGAGAATGATTTGTTTATGCTTGAATTTCTGACATTGATCCAACAAACAGAAGAGTATTAATTAGAGCAGGGGTCCTCAAACTACGGCCCGTTGGCCACATGCAAATACAAATATTGTATTTGTTCCCATTTTGTTTTTTTACTTCAAAATAAGATATGTGCAGTGTGCATAGGAATTTGTTCATAGTTTTTTTTTTAAACTATACTCCGGCCCTCCAACGGTCTGAGGGACAGTGAACTGGCCCCCTGTTTAAAAAGTTTGAGGACCCCTGAATTAGAGAATGGGCAAAAACCACTTTTTAAATTTCACTTAGTTATAAAATGCTAGAATTATGAATTATAAATTGAAGAAACCTAAGAGTCATCTCTCTGTTCTAAGCCTAATTAGAAATTCATAAGATTCACCCAGAAGTTGAATTATGAATTGTCAGCCGAAGTCACAGTCCCTGTGGTTGCAATGTCGTCTCTCAAACTGCCAGTGAGGTCAGCTGTGACCTTTTCCTAACATCTTTAGAAACATGTCTAAACATTTTGTAAGTAGTCTAACATAATTCAACACAATCCTTTACGTCTTTATTTTCCTACATTAATTCATATTATTATTCAGAAAAAGAAGCCTCAGTGGACCATAAATCCTCATTGTCTTCCATGTCTCAGGCTCATCTGAGTGCAAAGCAATCTTATCTGGAATCTCACATGTCAGAATGAACTTTTTTCTTAAAACTTGGTAGTCTTTATCAACAACTTTAGGCCATTTAATAGCCCCACTGCCCTGTAAGTGATAAATAAATGCTCAGGACTGTAGGAACTATCCAACTCTTTTATACCCAGTTTCCAAAATACAAACACAATAATTCTTACTAAATATCTCCTCTTAACAAGAAAAAAACTTGCTTTACTTTTTTTCTATTCAGGTCCATCACCCTGAACATAGATGTAAAAATAGGCTGCCTAAAATATTATTAAAATCACTTTTTAAGCACTTCAATTTAAAAAGCAATAAGCCAGCTAAAAATATTATAAAACTCACTTTCTAAGCACTTCAATTGAAAAAGCCCCCCACATCTATCATTTCCCCGGATATTCATTACACCCCCTCCGAAGCAGATGGGAGAGAAATGACTCCCCCTCTCCAAATGGGAAAACTGGCATTGATATTAAGGGACTCATCACATCTCATATAACAGGAAATGCAGTTTAGGCTTTATGATTTCAAAGGTCAGTACTTTCTCCTCTTTTGATTAAATTATTTTCTGCCTCAAGATCTCTAACTCAGAGATGGAGAACAGATTTAAAATCATTTGCCAATCTTGATTTATTGTTAGTGGTTGCTATTAAAAAGAACTCTGAGGCCCTAGCTGGTTGCTCAATGGTTAGAGTGGACTGAAGGGTCAAGGATTTGATTCCAGTCAAGGGTAAGTACCCCATTTTCAGGCTCAATTCTGGGCACTGGTTCGGGGATCCTATGAGAGGCAACCAATAGATGTGTCTCTCTCATATCGCTGTTTCTCTCTCTGTGTCTCTTCCACTCCCTTTCACTTTCTCTAAAAATCAATGGAAAATATATACCCTCTGGGGAGGATTAACAACAACAACAACAAAAAGGATTCTGAAGTCTAGTCAAGCTAAGTGAGAGATGGGTACCAAAAGTAATCATGGATTTATCCATTCAGATATCTACTGAGTGTTCATGATATGTGAGTCACTCTTCTAGCCTCTAAGAAATGCAATGTCTCCCATGGGCATGAAAAAAAAGAAGAGACCACTTGAATTCTATTATCTGCCATTTCTGAGCCTAGCCACCACCTGCCAGAATAAAATCAGGCCTGGAAAGACTGTATAAACTCCCCACTTCGCATTATCTCTTTCTCCCTTACCATTAGCTAATTGGCTCCATTTGGAATTTATAAAACCCTTGTGCCATTCAATGCTGCTTAGCATGCTGGAGAAGTCTCTAAGCTTGCAAATTGGCTCCATATCTTATTACAGTTCTAAAACACATGTCTTTTCACATTTGAACATTTTAAAATCAGAAAGATCTTACAATTCTGTTAGTCACAGATTGAAAGAGTTTTTCCAGAAGGACTTGTATTAGCTTTGCCCAGTCACCTGGGGGAATTCTCTACTAAATACTACTTAATTTTTCTGCTTGGGATAGTTTGGACTACACTGGTGTAGGGGATTTTAGACCGTAGACTTACACAAGTATTAGCTTGTGATTCAAATTATCAGGTAAGATTTTTATTCCTCCCTACATCCAGTGCCAAGATTGAGGCATGTAACTTTCCATGTGGGTGGGTTTATGCCTTGATGTCCCAGCTTTACATGAGATTTCTCAGTCTTAGATGTTTTATTTGCTTTATTGGTGGTACATGAAATAACAATGGATTTTACAACCAGTTTGTTTTAAACTTGTTGAAATGTAACAAATTCATGCTAATACTGAATTGTGATATTACTGAAAGTCTTATTTTTTCTAGTTGACTTCTTTTTTAAATATATATAATTTTATTGATTTCAGAGAGGAAGGGAAAGGGATAGAGAAACATCAATGATGAGAGAGAATCGTTGATTGGATCCCTGCTGAACGCCCCCTACTGGGGATCGATTCATAACAGTAGCAAAATTACAGTTATGAAGTAGCAATGAAAATAATTTTATGGTTGGGGGTCACAACATGAGGAACTGTATTTAAAGGGCCAGAAGGTTGAGAACCACTGCTTTAATGCCTAGTTTCAATACCAACCCCTTCACTAAAGCATTCCTACCCCAACCCCTCCTAACCACAGTACACACACCTCACAAAACCCTGCAATGAGAATTAGTCTCTCCATTTTTATAGTATCAACACACCTGGGATTATAAAGCTTATTTCATCTTGTTTTATATTATAGTTAATTTTGTCTAGTTCTCTCCTTCTACCAGATTATAAACTCTTAGAACTATCATCTATCTTTGAATACTTTTCAATGATAAATATAATTTTTAAAAAATGGATGTTGAACACTCAAGGAGATGAGGTACTAGCAAATCTAATTTTTTGACCTTAAAGACCTTCTATATTAGCCATATAGAAGACGGGGTATGTAGAAAAAATTTCAAAGACATCGAAGCTTATAGATCATGAACTAGTTTCCATCTTCGAGGCAACACTTAACAAAATATTATCATTATTACAGAAATAAGTGAAACAGATTATTCACTAAATTCCCATAACAATATCACTACCAGATGCTGTTAATGTTAGTCATTGGAATATATCAATTCAGGTGAGCTCCCATCTTAATACCAGTTGTGTTGATGATTCTACTAATGAGTATCAGGCATACTGATTAGTAAGTATTTTTCAACCAGAAAATTTCAGATGAAATATATAAATTTTATGTTAATCAGATAAAGAAATTAAGACCCTAGATAAAACTGACAAAACACAGATCCTTAAATGGCCTGGTGTAGGGAGAAAACCCAGGAATCATTCCTACCTGGGATACATACCAATTATGAGCATAGTCTCCCTCTTTCAAATGGGGGTAATGGATCCTCACTGTTCCTTCAACTAACACTATTCCCTGAGTTCTGCAATCTTCCAAAACATAGGAAAAAGTTGATTATTTACCTCAGCTATGGACAATATTTCAAGACATATGGTAGAGTCATCTTGAAACTATACAATTTATAATGTTTAATTTATATTTATAGGAATGCATATGTTTTTAGGTTCTGTGACCAAGACATTGTATTTGCAGCCTTGATTAGTAAAATTTCTAAGTGATACATTCTTTTCTTTTTTTAAAATAATAGTCTTATTAATTAATCATCTGACATACTTCTACAATACTTTTCCTCCTATATTATTTTTATTCAGGTATAATTTTCTAAACTTTTAAAAATATTTTTATGGATTTCAGAGAGGGAGGGAGATAGAGATAGAAACATCAATGATGAGATAGGATCATTGATCTGCTGCTTCCTGCATGCCCCACACTGGGGATCCAGCTCTTAACCCGATGCTCAACCACTGAGCCACATCTGTGAGGCATTAAGGTATAATTTTAACACACAACATGATATTAGTTTGGGGTATAAAATAATAATTCAATATTTGTATATATTGCAAAACAATCACAATAACTTTAATAAATATCCATCATCACATATATTTACAAATTTTTTCCTTATAACGAGTATTTTAAGCTCTACTCTCTTTGCAACTTTTAAATATGCAATCCAGTATTATTAACTACTAGAGGCCCAGTGCACAAAATTCATGCATGGGAGGGGGATCCCTCAGCCCAGCCTGCACCCTCTCACAATCCAGGACCCCTTGGGGGATGTCTGACTGCCTGTTTAGGCCCAATCCTAAACCAGCAGTCGGACATCCCTCTCGCAATCCGGAACTACTGGCTCCTAAACACTGGCCTGTCTGCCTGCCTGATTGCCCCTAACCACTCCCCTGCCTGACTGATGGCCTAACCACTCTGCCTGTCTGCCTCATTGCCCCTAACCACTCGCTTGCCTGCCTGATCGCCCCTAACTGCTCGCCAGCCTGCCTGATCATCACTAACCACTTGCCTGCCTGCCTGATTGCCCCTAACTGCCTCTGCCTGCCTGCCTGCCTAACTGCCCCTAACCACTTGCCTGCCTGCCTGATCACCCCTAATCGCCTCTGCCTTGGCCCCCACCATGCCGCTTCGTCGGGAAGGACATTTGGCTGTCCAGTCTAATTAGCATATTATACTTTTATTATTATAGGTAGTTACAATGTTTACATTACATCCCATGACATATTTATAATTGGAAGTTCATACCTTTTGACCTCCTTCACTCATTTTGCTCACCCTCCTACCCCCACCTCTGGTGATCACCAATCTGTTTTCTGTATCTATAAGCTTAGTTTTTTTATTTTAATTCCATATATAAGTGAGATCATATAGTACTTATATCTCTTTCTGACTTATTTCATTCAGCATGTCTCAAAGATCTATCTATGTTGTCACAAATGTCAAGATTTCATTCTTTTTATGATTGAATAGTATTTATAATGCTCTTTTCTTTATTTGAGTTCTTCAGATTTAATATTTATGCAGTTTTCTCAAATCATGTATCACACTGAAGTTCTCAAATTTATAGTATATGGAACTAAGATGGTGTTTTCTCATTTCTAACTAGGTTGTCCTGGGTTACAATAAAACACTTTTGTTTAAAAACACTGAAGTAAAAGTATACAAATTTTAGCAATGACATGGCAAGTCTCTATCATTCACTCAGACATTTCAGATGACAGTGTCACATTTTAATTGTTAGAAGCCAGAAGAAATAGGCAACCAGGGGATTAGAAAAAAGATGGTCATAAGGAAGTGTTATTTAAATAAAGTACATGTCACATTCCGATATTCATTTGACTCTGGAATTAATGGTTATCGCCCGATTTCATTGCTATTTTACAGTGTTGTTATCATTAACTTTTGTTCAGGGTTTGTTAAGCTTTTTAATCTTCACATCCAGGTGATAAAAATTGAACAGGAGTGCTGCCAGGAGAGAATTTCCCCTTCAGTGATGGCAATGAACAGAACATTTTTACTCTGAAGACCAAACGAAAGTGAGCTGAGAGCCTCTCTGGTTTGAGGGAGAGCTGGTGCTCAGCTGGCCCAAAGGCAGCAGTGCTTTCCAAAGCGTCATCCAAGTGGCTGGTCTTGAACTATAAGAAGGGAGGGACGGAAAGAGCACTATGTTCTGCTGCTCTGGGTCCTGGCCTTTACAAACTATTGGTTTGGGTGGGGTGGGAACTGGGTGGAGGGGGACAATGAAGGGGAAAAGGGGGACATTTGTAATACTTTCAACAGTAAAGTTTTTTTTAAAGGAAAAAATAGTAGAGTCACATGAAATTCTAAATTATAGTTTTATTTTTTTAATGTGGCTACTAAAGAAATTTAGAATTCCATTTGCAACAGCATGGATGGAAGTGGAGAGCATTATGCTAAGCGAAATAAGCCAGTCAGAGAAAGATAAATATCACATGATCTCACTCATTTATGGAATATAATGAACAACATAAACTGATGAACAAAAACAGAGACAGAGAAGCATCGATCAGACCGTCAAGCCTCAGAGGGAAGGTAGGGGAGGGTGGGGGTAAGAGGGAGAGATCAACCAAAGGACTTGTATGCACACATATAAGCCTAACCAATGGACACAGACACCAGGTGGGTGAGGGCACGAGTCGGGGGGTGGGGGAGGAATGGGGAGATAAGGACACATATGTAATACCTTAATCAATAAAGAAAAAATAAAAAAAAAATTAACTGGTGAAATTAATATTAATAATGTATTTTATTGAACACAATGTATCATTTCAATGTCTAATCAATAAAAAATTATTAATGAGAGAAAAATTGGTTCTTGAGCTGGTTTTGATCAGTGGATAGAGCGCCGGACTGCAGACTTAAGGGTTCTAGGTTTGATTCCGGTCAAGGGCATGTACCTTGGTTGCAAGCTGGATTCCTGGCCCTGGTTAGTGTGCGTGTAGGAGGCAACCAATTGAAATGTCTCTCTCTGTGTTTCTCCCCCTCCCTTCTACTCTCTCTGAAAATCAATGGAAAATATCCTCGGGTGAGGATTAACAACAACAACAACAAATTGTTTCTTACACTAAACGACTTGTCCTGTAAATTGTATTTTCTCATGCCTCTTTATTCTGCAAAAGTTGCCCCGTGCCATTTTCTTGCGAAGATGCTGCCCCTTTGCATGGAAAACCTTCTGGCCCCTCAGTACTCAGCCCCTAGGCTCCTCCTCAGTGATCTGGCCACTCTCTGGGCTGACCTACAATCCATCTTTTATTGCAACTGTCCATTTGCTTCTTTGTCTCCCCAAATAGCTGGAAAGTTCCTTGAGGACAGGTTTAACATCTCCACACCCATATTTGTTTTCCTAATCTAGATTTTAGTGCCACAGAACAAAGGTAACTGCAAAGCTTCCATATTTTCCCACTGTCTCCAGGTAAAATGAACAAGGCTGAATGGGAGAAATGGGAGAGGAGGGATTTATTTCAGTACTTTTAAGTAATCCAGAGGGGAAAAAAGTCAAATGGATAAAGAATCTTCTGAATCCTTTCTTGTATTTTTAAATCTCAGAAATACAAAAAGATATACATTTTATTAAACTCTACATGAACATGAATTTGAAGAACCAGCTGATGTTTAAATTGAAAGATATCCGTGCTCATGAATTCAGAGACAAAAGTTTATACACATTGAATTACAAATTGAAAAACCAGCCATATTTTTTGCTTTGGTTTAAAGCTTAGTCCAGATTATATCTGCAATATATCAAAGTACCCTTGAAATAATTAAGTATGATACATTTTTGACTTGCAATAAATAAGAAAGGAAAATTCGCAGAAATCACACCCACCTGTAATCATGTTCTGAGTGATAAAATCCATCAACTCAGACACCTAGGGGAAAATGCCAACTGATGTCCTTCTGTAGTTATTTCTTAAAGGAGCCTGTCCTCTAGCACAACCAGCTCCCCAAGAAGTTATTTCAGCAAGAATCCAGATCCCATTGTCTCTTCTACAAACAAGTGGACCTCCAGAGTCCCCTTTGTATAGTAGAGAAAGAGAAAATTTGAAAATTCACTAGTTAAAAATATTTTATCAAGTCCACAAATATCAGCACTCATCTCAGAGAAGTAGAAGCAAATAGATGTCCAATGGTCATTATCTATCAATATTTTTTATCCATCTTTTTGGTTTTTTTCACCATTAGTTTCAAGGTACTATAGTTTTGCACAGATGTAACCTGCTTCTACCCATTGCCTACAATCCTATAAAGCTGACATAATATCTCTCTGCCTCCTCCTTTTTTGGCCACAAACATATACATACCAAAATCAATGGAAGGAGGAGGATGAGTTTACAGATACATGCCTCTGCAATAGCTTGCCACTTGAAATTGCTGGAAAAGATTAGGCCATACCCCAAGACTATAGCAGGTTATGCAATGATTCAAGGCTTTGAAAACAGGGACTAATTTTGTCCCAAGTACTATATGTCAAACACTTTTGGCTCCTTAGAGGATAAGAAACCCACAATTTCAGGATCCTATCTTTAATAATCCTTCAGAATAATATGCTGTTTTGAGAACATGTGCCAATTTTTTGTCAGATTAAGCCACCTAACACTTAAAACTCATGTCTTCAACAAATTGGTCTCCCTTTCTCCTGTGTATCTTGTAAAGATTGGTCTCCTTTGTGAAATTGTTATCTTTGAGAGGTCACTCATTCACAACATTATTACCCAACAGTTACTATAACTAATGCTTTCTTTGGTCAAACTTTGTGCAAACATTGCATTCTGCACTAAATGTTTAAAAAATTTAACAAAAGGTGGAATGAAACATAGTTCACAGCTGAACCTAATTAGTTTGCCAAAGTGGTCATCTTGCTTGCTTCAATTAGGTTGGAAATGTTCAAACTACCTCCTCTGCCTCTTGCTCCCCCGCCCCCTGTAAAAAAAGAGGTGGTGGGGGGGTAAGATTTGGCATAGGACAAGAAAGAATTCTCTCAGCCCAGGTCGAGTAAACTTTTTTCAGTAGAAGCCAGGTGGAAAGATGAAGGAAAAGGGAATTTTGAAGCAGTAACTCCCAAAAACAGCTCATGGGGAAGGCAGAATTCACTATCACCCATGTGTTATAGAATAACGCAGCCTGTTTATGCTTTGTACCTGACAGGCAACATTTTCTCCATCAGGAAAACCAACATAAAACATGGGGAGGAAGGTTCATGCCCTTGAGCAGAGTACTACACATTCTGTCATCCATGACAGGAAGGTTCAGTTCTTGCAGGGCACTTGAATATCCTGATGCTGTGGGGACTGATAAGTTAGTCAACAACTGTCCTCACTGAAACAAATAGTAATAAGCCTTCAAGTTTAAAACTATTTCCAATAGACGTTTAACCAAATTGTAAAAGCTCTTTTTTTAGGAGTGAATTATATTCTTTCCTAAAATCATTATGTTATAAAGGACCCTTTTTTTAAAAAAAATCCAGCATATTTTTAAGGTAACATAGGCAGTTGTGATTTCTCTGAATATATGCTTTAATGTTTCCCCAAGAGGAAAACATCAGTCAATAAAGCAATATTTTGTAAAGTTCTTTATTTTTTCTTTAAAAGTCATAATATTAAATATAATGAAGCTTAACTATTGTTACTATTTCCCGATTATCCCTTTCCTATAGTCTTCTTCATCTGTTATAGTTACCTTGGGTTTTATCTGACACACTAACCACAATGACAGCAAGGTTTACGTAGAGCCTCAAGTATAGACTTTTATACAGTGAAGAGAGCCACAGATCTTCACTGGGTCAGAACTCAGGGGAAAGGAAAACACAGGAAATCATGCATTACTCATGGCCAGCAAAATTCTTCCTTCTACTGGGCATGCAAAAGGGCCTGGGAGAAACATTATTTTATTTTTTGATACCTCTCACTCTCTGAAATCTTGCCCCATCCACTGGTCATGCAAAGAATCCTTTCTTCAAACTTATCATCTCCATGGGGAAGACAGATTGGCTGGACAGCAATACCTGAAACAACAACAACAACAACAAAAAATCATGAGGTTCACAGAGAAATGATGCTGAATATATTTGGAAAGTGACATTGGCTGATTTCATTTCTTCTACAATTTATTCTTAATGCTGTATTGACATATATTTTCAATGTTTTCCTCTTGTAAAAAATTATTTCATATAGAAATTTAGAAAAATGCAGGAAAAGTAAAACAAGAAAAAACATAATCCATTGTTCTACATACCACAATGACCACCCCCACCCAAAGCTACTAACATTTTAAGGTGTACCCTTGTTCTTAAAGAATAGTTTTTTTCTCATAGTAAATTTAGCACTACTGTATGGTAAGCACTCTTCTAGGCCTCAGTGAATAAGCCGAAAAAAATCCCTGACTTGGCAGAATTTGTGTGTGTGTGTGTGTGTGTGTGTGTGTGTGTGTGTGAGTTGGGGGTAGGGGAAAGCAGGGTAAAGAAGATAAGTCTGGGGATTAAAGAGGATGGCATGGGAGGTATACTTTTAAATAGGGCAGTCATGACAAGTCTCATTGAGCCTGTGACATTTGAACAAAGTCTTAAGAAGCTGGGGGAAAGCACCATGCAGTTAGCTTGGTGGAAAGCATTTGAAGAAGAAACAGAATGGAAAATCCCCTGTAGTGGAATAATGTCATATTGTTTGAGGAACAGTGGGGAGGCCAGGGTGCCTGGAGCAGATTAAACAAAAGAATGTTCAGTAAAAAACAAAAAAGAGGCTAGATGTTGGGCTAGGAGGCGGGAGATGTCAGATAATAAGGATATTGATTTCCATCTGAGTATAATGGAGAACCACTGAAGTGTTTTGAATAGAGAGGCATAACCTGACTTACATTTCAAAAAGTATTATTCTGGCTGCTGGATTAATAATAAACATTAGTGGTGCAAAAGAGGAAGCTGATAATTTAAGAGTCAATTGAAAATAACCCAAGCGAGAAAGACTGTAGCCTGAAACAGGATGTAAGAGTATAGAAGGTAAGGCAGAAGCAATAGGATTTTCCTGATGGATTAGATGTAGAGTATGAGAGAAAGAAGAATGAGTACAAAGTTTTTAGCTTAAACAACTGGCAGGGTAGAGCTGTCATTAATTGGTATGAAAGGCTATGGGTAGAGCAGATTTAGGATGTAGGGGATAATTAGGATTTTTATTTAAACATATTAACTTTGAGATGCCTATTAATTATCCAGGCAGATGACCATTAGGTAGTTGACTATATGACCCCTATTAATCCAAATAGCATTTCTGTAATAAAAGGAACCTGTACTAGATAGATAACATTGCAGTAATCTTCGAGTAGATGGTGTTTAAAACCTAGATCTGGCATAGATCACTAGGCCTTGATCCTGGATGAGATCACTAAGGAAAAGGTATGCAAAAGTGTAGGAGAAAAACCAAGGGACTCCTGGAATTCAAGTGAAGAAAATGTTTCCAGGAGAGTGTGCACAACTCTGTCAAAGCTCCTATCAAGTAAGCTGAAGACTGAGATTTACCTTTGAATTTAGCAACGTGAAGGTCATTGGTGACTGTGACAAGACAAATTTGATAGAGTGGTGCGATTGAAAGGCTGATTGACTTGGATGTCTAATAGACATCTCAAACCTAATACATGCAATTATGAGAACTGAGGAAAGGAAATTGAAATACCTAACATAATTGGGTCTTCATAGAGTGTTTCTATAATGAGGAGCAGAAAAAAATCAATAATTTTTTAATATACAGATCTAGTTTGAGTTATTCTCTCTCAGTATTTTGATGATCTTGTACTATGGTCTTCTGACTTTCATTACTGCTGTTGAAAAATTAGCTGTCAGTCTAATTGTCATTCCTTATTGATAATATAGGTTTTCTTCTCGATGCTTTTGAGATCCACTCTTTGTTTTTAGCATGTTATAGTTTCAACATAACATATCCTATATAATAAAAGGCTAATATGCAAATCTACTGAACAGCAGAATGACTGGTTGCTATGACACACACTGATCACCAAGGGGCAGATGCTCAATGCAGGAGCTGCCCCCTGGTGGTCAGTGTGCTCCCACAGGGGACATGCTGCTCAGCCAGAAGCCAAGCTCATGGCTGGCGAGAGCAGCTGCAGTGGCAGGAGCCTCCCCTGCCTCTGCAGCAGTTGGACATTCCCCAAGGGCTTCCAGACAGCGAGAAGGCGCATGCTGTGCTGAGGGACCCCCTGATTGCATGGATTTCATGCACCGGACCTCTAATCTATATATAATTTTTAATATCATAGTTTGGAATTATTGAATTCTTAAATCTGGAGATCTGTGCCTCATCAGTTATGTTTACTCCTTAGCCATTTTTTTTCTTAAATTATAGCTTTTCTGTCCCATTACCTATATTTTTTTCTAAAGCTCAAACTGGATGTTTACTAAATGCTTTTAATATATCTCCTCTGTCTCTTACTTTGTCACTTTTGAATAATTATTTCATATTTTCTAGTTCCCTGTATCTGATCTAATCTGCTAACTCAGCTACTGTGTTTCCAATTCAACTTACATTTTTATACTTTAGTGTTTTATTAGCTCTTTTAAAAATCTTCCTCCTAAGTTAATAATTTCCTGTTCTTTAGTCATTTTTGATAGACCTTTATATACATAAACTTAAGTAAAACATACTTTATATATATTATGTACCTTATTTTAACATCCATAATCGTAGAAAGAATAATTAGTTATTATTTCTGACTCTTTGGTAGCAACTTTCTCTGCATGCTTTTGATTTAATTGTGTGTTCACATTCATTAAAACTTTATGGGAGGATAGTAAAGCTGAGATTTAAGGTTATTCTCTTCAGAAAGGATTGACTTTTGCTTCTGCCAAAAGCCCTGATTACTCACCTGTAACAACTTTAGAGTCTTGGTTTAGAGTTTTGGATCACAGGTAATGTAAATTTCAGCATGACCCCGAATGAGGGTTTGCTTACAATTACAGATTCTTCGAGAACCCTCCATCCAGTAAGCTTCCTTATTTTCCTGTGCTGTATGTCCCTCGCTTTCCCCCTACTTCCAAAGCATTACCTGTCAGGAAGTTCCAGGTACACAAAGGCTCCAATCAGACTTTCCCATCCCTGATCCTTATTCCAATGCAGGCTCCTTACATGGCCAATTAAAGCTCTAGGTTCTAACAAATCAATTAGATGCTTCAAGCGCAGTTGCTTATTTCAGTGCTTGGCTAACTACTCTAGATCTGTGCTCTTTCATTGTTTTTAGTCACTAAACACTTTCCTTACTTGCATTAAAAAAAACAAACACATTTCTTATACTTTATTCAGATTGTTTAACCTGTGCTGAGAGTGTGTCAGATTTCTATTTCACAATAATGACAGAAATTTTGATAAAATTTTCAAATGTCCCAACCTCCTGGCTAGAACTGAGTATAGGTAGATGGTCAGCAGTATAGCCCAGCTAAGACACTGGAGTACTTAAAATGCTACTTAAGTTAAGCATAGAATATGTGGCTGAGATTTATGGCCTATACAGTGCTTTCTGTACATTCAACAAAATTATTTTAAAAAGAAACAAAATGTAGCAATTCTAATATTACTAGATATAAAAAATAGAAATTAAAGTTAACTGGTACAGAATTAATGAACACAGTTTTCTCCATTACATTTTTTATATTCTAACTCTCTTTACTTATCAAACTTCACTTTGTGCTTTAGATGCAGCGGTGCAATATCAGAATTCATATATCCAAGTCTGTTGTAGTCAGGCTGTATAATAATTTTTGAGACAGGAATATTTTGTTCTTGCTTATCCTTCTGAAAGAAGTTATACTCTACAGCAATCATAACCAGACTATTAATTTGTTCCCTAAAAACAAAGAAAAATATTTCACTAAGCAGCTGTTTCCCCCAGAAAAGTCTCTTGGTTTCATGCAATTAAATGAAAAGTGATTAATGTACCTGTAAGTATTACTAAGTCTTTGTGGAGGGCTGCTGGCTAGCACCTTCGGACGTTTTTTAAATATTGTCGGCTGGACCCAGGGTGCAGGCAGAGCCACACCCTGGGGGCGGTCCTAGTCAAGAGGCTAGGACGCTACTCAGTCTGACTTTTCCCGCCAGGTGCTAAGGGGGGTGGGTCCTATTATGTTGCCAGGAACTCAAGGCCCACCCAGATGTGATGTAACTTCCTGTTACTTTGAATATATATATTAAATTTACTTCCGGTGCTGCGCATCTGTCTGTCCCTGCATCAGAGGGCAGATGCCATACCCGATCCCAGCTTATTCTATTTTTGTGTCCTGTCTCTTTAATTTCTCAAATCCCAAAGCGCCTCTACTTAAAAGCACTGGTTCATGTGTCTCTCTCTCTCTGTGGAACACGGAGAAGAGAGTTCCCCTGACATAGTCTTAAAAGAAGATATACCTTTATTAGTGATTAGAGGCCCGGTGCACAAAATTTGTGCACGGGGGGTGGTTCCCACAGCCCAGCCTGCACCCTCTCCAATCCGGGACCCCTCAGGGGATGTCTGACTGCTGGCAGTCGCACATCCCTCTCACAATCCTGGACTGCTGGCTCCTAATTGCCTCACCTGCCTGCCTGGGTCACCCCTAACTGCCCCCCCCCCACACGCCAGCCCTGATCAACCTTCATTGGACCGCCTGGGTGGCCCGGGCCCCCCCTAACTTTCCCCCTGTTGCCAGGCAAGGCCGCCCCCAAACTGTCCCCCTCCCCTGCGAGCCTTTGGCCACCCCCTAAATGCCCCCCCCGG